TTTGAAACTACAACGGTGAATAATGACGCTAAAATCATCAAAATATCGAATATTGCGAGGTATCGTTATATGGGGGCTATACGAAGACGTGGACCTGCACACACAATTTTCTGTCTTAGGCTGTAGTATTCATTTCAAACTTCAAAGGCAAAATTTGAAACAATTCCGGTTAATACTTTCGCTAAAATCATCAAAATACCGGATATCTGGAGGTACCGTTATATGCGGGCTATACGAAGACGTGGACCTACATGGCCCATTTTCGAACTTAACCTGCCTACTGGAAAAATAAACATGTGTGCAAAATTTTAACCTTCTATCTCTATTCTTTCGAAAGATAGCGTGATTACAACAGACAGACAGACGGGCATCGCTAAATCGGCTTTGAATTTTACGCTGATCAAGAATATATATACTTTGTTGGATCTGACATGAGTATTTCGAGGAGTTACAAACGGAATGACAAAATGAATATACCCTCCATAGTATGGTGGAGGGTATAAAAATGGAGCTGGGCTTTTACCTGGGGATATTATAGATGTTCTATATCATATAGGTTTTTAACAGTCAAATCAAAGCTGAAAAATAAAATCAGGCTATTCAAATTATCTGACATCAATGGTAAGCGAAAATCTATTATTTTGCCATGAATATTTATTTCTATTTAGAAATTACTATGGCTATTCAAAATATCTGACACCAATGGTAAGCGAAAATGTATTATTTTGCCATGAATATTTATTTCTATTTAGAAAGTACTATGGATTCATGACTCATTATATACAAAAAAATAAGCATTAAAAGTAAAAGTACGGGTCTGCAACGCGGACCAGGCCAGCTAGTATAGCTAGTATATTAAAGATTCATACAAATTCGAAATTGTCTCCTATCCGAAAAGGATAATATCCAAAAAAATTGCGTAAAAATGTGATATATTAACATTTTCATTTTGACTTTTGAAATGTACAATAGTAATGTTTTATTTTGTATAATTTTTTTTCATTTTGACTTACTTTTTTTCTAATGTACATTTGTAGTGTTTTTTATTAAGTTATTAAGTTTTTTATTAAGTTTAAGTAAAGTCCCCACATTGGAGTATTCTTAAGTCCACTTTCAAATCTAATGTGTGGTCAGAAAAGAACAATTTTGTATTCTTTTGAATTTGTAACCCCCAAGAACGTAAGTTTGAGATGTACATCTATAATTAATTGTGAAAACATGAACAAATTACAGATATAAGAAAGTAGCACGGGACCGAATATTTGTTGAATCGTCATTGAATTATACAATGAAGAAAAATATGGACTTTATGGGGTCTCCAATTTACAATTTAAATGACAAATAAAATTAGTTCCCATCTTACGGTAACGGGTGTAAAATAGTAATTATATTTGACTATTCTGAAATCAGTCTGCCCTCAATTATGAGGTGGATAAAACTATTTTTACTTATTTAAATCACGTGATTTTTTTTTTTTTTTCAGTTTGACATGCTATGTTGTTCTGCTATATTTTTGATTTGGCCTCTATTTGTCATCTTTGATTATAAGGGGTAGAATAAAGTTTTCAATGTAGGTCGATGTTTCGGAGTAGTGCCCATATAAAGGTACCTCCTGATTTTACCATATATCAAAGGATTTGGCTAAAAATGTGTATTTGGGGGTGAAAATCTTACACAAAAATTTCAACATATCTACACATTTTAGAATTTTCTCCATGTAATAGTACCCCCTCAAGTCCACCTTTTGGCGGACAAACAGATGCACAATCTGAGGTGCTAATGGATTTAAATCATTCAGCCCTCAATTATGAGGTGTACAATATATATATATATATATATATATATATATATATACATATATATATTCAACAAATTTTTTTGGAAAATCAGCTAAAACCCACAAACTTCAATAGTTTAGGTGACATTATTTCAACCGCATACAAACAACAATAAATGAAAAAAAAAAACATTTGTTTAAACATGAAGAATTGTTTATTCTAGCTAGAGTCTTCAAGTTAGTAGATTCATTTGATCCGTCCTTATCTACTACGCGTACTTAGCAGAGCTACTATTAAACAAATATATGTTTATATTGCGAATTTCTTTGAAAAAAAAACCTTGTTGAATTGAAGTAGGTTAAGTTAGACTGGTGCAAGTAGTTATTAAGAAATAAACATTGAGAAATAAAATTAGAATCTAAACTATGTCCGAGCGTAAAGTTTGTTCTTTCCTTTTCAAATAAACATTGGTCCTTCGATAATAATAATCAGCGGCCGTAGGAAAATAAAAGGCAAATTTAGGCACACAAAGGCAAATTTAAAAGATTTAAAAAAAATAAATAAAATAATAATAATAAAAGACCACAAGGGACACAAAACAGACCACGCGGGCAAACTTAAAAAAAATTAAAATAAGACCACCATTTGGAAAGAGGCTGGAAAATGAAAAAAAAAAAATCCGAAAACTACCACTTAATTAACAACCGTTATCGGGAGGTACCGTTATATAATATGGGGAGCATACGAAGACGTGCTTATGAAATTTTTTGTAATATGCTGTAGTATATACGAAATACGGAACAGTTCCAGTGAATTATGTCACAGGCTGTAGCACCCATCACGAACTTTAAATACGAAATTGTAAATAATATCGGGAGGTACCGTTATATGGGAGCTATACGAAGACTTGGACCGGCATACAAAAAATTTTGTCATAGACTGCAGTACCTATAACGAACTTCCAATACGAAATTATAAATAAATCCGCGGAATAATGTCGCCAAAATCATGAAAATAACGAATATCGGAAGGTTCCGTTATATGGTACGATATCGTGGACCGATATAGCCCATATTCGAGCTTGACCTGCCTGCAGACAAAAGACTGATCTGTGCAAAATTTTAGCTTCCTATCTTAATTCCTTTGACTGTAGCGTGATTACAACAGACGGACAGACGTTTGGACAAAATAATACAGAAACACTATATTTGAAAAGAAACTTTGGGCGACAATAAAAAATAAAGAATGGCATCCAGAATAAATTTGTACTAACCCAAAATCAAATCCTAAGAAGGATTTAAAAGGTTTTGGGAAAAGGTACAATCAGGCATGGTGAAATAAGTTGCTGTAGAGAAAACACTGTTGTCTCTGGAAAATAAATTAGAAGAGGCTAGAGTAATTCATGAGAAACAGGGCACACAGGGGGAGAAAAGTGATCCCCAGTACCAAGAAAAGGTATGGGATCTGATTCAAGCCTACTACGAATAGGCTAAAACATATGTAGAAGCTATGAAAGAAGAAGCATGAACCTTAAATAAAAACCAATAAAAAAACATTAAGTTCGGCCGGGCCAAACTTTTAATACCCTCCACCTTAGGGTAAAAGAAACATTAGAAGATATGTGGCAAAAACCATTAAAATGCCGAATATCGAAAGGTACCGTTATATGGGTGCTATACCAAAACGTGGACCTATAATTACAATGTTTCGCCACACGAACTAGGACCCATTATGACCCACAAATACCAATTTTTAGACGAATCAGTGAAAAAATGTGGCAAAAACCATAAAAATACCGAATATCGGGAATATATGGGGGCTATTCCAAATCATGGACCCATACATGCAATGTTACGCCACCGGAGCTGGAACCCATTATGACCAACAAATACCAAATTTCAGACAAATCCGTGAAAAAATGTGGCAAAAATCATCAAATTACCGAATATCGGGAGGTACCGTTATATGGGGGCTATACCAGAACGTGGACCTATACATGCAATGTTTTGCCACACGCTCAGGGACCCGTTATGATCTACAAATACCAATTTTCAGACAAATCCGTGAAAAAATGTGGCATAAATCATCAAAATACCGAATATCGGGAGTTACCGTTATATGGGGACTATACCGGAACGTGGACCGATATATCTCATTTTCGAGCAACCAGATGCGCACAAACATCGAGCAGTCCTATTCTAATTTAGAAAAAAGTGAATAAGCTGACTGAAGCGGTAGAAACTGAGTTGGCTGGTGTTACTAGATACGCTTTATACGATACGAGTACATGAAGACCTCATGGTAAAAAAATTTGATGAAATTAAGCAGCTGCATTTACAACTTTCAATTGTACATGGGGAAGGCTTTGAAGAAATTGACGTCAAGTATGAAGAGAAGGGAGATCATTTTGAAACGAAAACGCAATGTATTATAAGCTGATTAGACGAGGCGCAATAGAATAATGTGGCCGTGGAACTATGTTTCTCTGGTAATGTGGAAGAATGAAGTTCCTTCCATGATTAGTTTAAAAAAAGGATCGACTAAACTCCGAGCTGTCAGAGGTACAAAAACTGTATTACCTAAAGACGAATTTAAAAGGAGAGGCGTTTCGTAAAGTGCAGCAGCTGCAAGTGGCAGAATAAGATTATAAAGCGGCCTGGGAATTATTGGAAAATAGGTACGGCAACAAAAGATTCTATTAACAAAATTAGTGAATAGAATTGTAGACCATCCGAATATTAACAGCCAGTCGGCATCGAATAGAGTGAATAACGTGTATGAGAGATCCAGGCCTTAAAAGCAATGGATATAACATTGGATCATTTCGATCCAATTTTGTCCACAATTATAATACGGAAAGTCGAAAGTCGGCAAAAACTTCAGACTTCATCCAAACCATCGGTTCGACAACACGTCAACCCCTCCATATAACTTTCGGTTTGAAGTCGGACCGAACTTGGACAATTTGGTTCGCTAAGCTTTTACATCCAAGTTCCACACATTTATAGCCACACTTTATAAAAAAAATCAAAAATAATATTATTATAAGTTGTTTACTAAGGATTTTTGAGTTTATATGTAATTATACGACTTTATTTTTTTTTTCTGTACTTTTTCATAAACTTTTATAATTTAAGGCATTGCTGTCAATTGACATTATTATAGTCTTCAAATTAGTAATGTGTCGATATATATTTTTAAATAAAAAAAACACAGCAAATCTTTTGTCTTTTATCTTTTAATAGTACATTTAATTTGAACAAAAATACTTATAATTGTGTAGACAAGGACAATACACAGTAGTTTCATTGCTTCCAAATTAATTTTTCACGTTTAGCTCTTGTAGTTCATCAAGTGAAAAAATATAAATAGTAAAAATACGTACGTTGTTTACTTTGATGTACATGGTATATAATTATCCTATATTTAAACTAGATTTATCAATATCAATACTTTTAATTTTTGTAGTAATGAAGCTTTATATGAGCGGAGCAATTATTTCTCAACTTTATTGTTTCCGTCTATTGACATAGCTGGTTCTAATATATTTTTGAATATTTTTCTCACTCCTCAGCGATGTAAACCACCAATGCAACTCCGTAATGAATGATAAATTAATCAATAATTGCCGCTTATTTTACAATATTATATTTTCTATATAAGGAAATTTTTAGTTGTATTTCAATAAACAAAAAATACATATAATATACATGGTGTTATAATATTATGGACGATATATGGTGAGTCTGGTTTAAATGCAGTATCTAGTATCTAAATGTGCATCAACGAAAAAGTCGGATACTTCATCAATTCGAAGCAATGACTTCTCAGTTAAGTGTCTATTCACTACTAGCTTTAGTGATTCCCGTGATTCAGTTATGGACTTTTGCAAATATGGCAGGTCAAAGCTTTAATCCACCTCATAGAACGAAATTATGGACAATTGAGTATTCTGAAAAAAATAAAAGGGAAGATAAATTATATGTAAATAAATAAAGTAGAATCTTGAAAATACCTGGAATTTCTTTTTGAATGTTTGTATTTGACTTAGCTCATCGTCACTAAATTGATTGTTTCGATGCAGAACTCCGATTTTTATAACAATACTAGCTGAACCCGGTGCGCTTCGCTACCCCTTTTGATTTTATATGCATGCAAAATTTTATTTACGAATATATGTTGGTTAAAAAAAAAACAAATTTAAAAATTAAAAAAAAAAAATATTGCACTAATTTAATGCGTAAATAACCAAAAGCATTAGAAAAGCAGTAACATGACATAAATACACGAAGGGTTTGTCCTTCGGATTTATTTATTTAATAGCAAATACCAAGCGTGCAGTAAACTGCAATATTTTGAAGTTGAGTGGCATTTCTATTGCAATTAGTGAATTCGAGATAGCAACATACTTCGCCGTAATAAGCGTATTTCAAATCAATTGTTGTGTTGTTTTTTAGTGTTAGCCTAAGGCGTTGTGGGCCAATGGTTCTTATTAAAATCATATCCCAATCTGATCCGATTTAAATATAATTTAAAAAAAAATACTCTACACCAAACTCCGCCACACCTTTCATATTTCATTGAAATTGGTGCGTCAAATACGTGAAATCGGCCGATAATATATATATGGGAGCTATATCCAAATCTTAACTAATTTCCAATTAATTTGTCACATTTATTATTGTAACCAAATTCCGCCACACATTCTGAATTTCATTGGTATCGGTCAGCTATATCCAAACCTCAACTGATTTCAATATAATTTGGAAATTTTTTCTGGTGCCAGATTTTGTCTCTCTGTCTTTGGGTGCATCAAATATGTGAAATCGGCTGAATATATATATGGGAGCTATAATCAAATCTGAGCTTATTTGAATATAATTTGTCAAATTTATTTTTGTACCAAATTTAGCCACTCATGCTGAATTTCATTGGAATCGGAAATACGTATCGTGTTTTGTGCATCAAATATGTGAAATCGGCGGAAAATATATATGGGAGCTATATCCAAATCTGAACCGATTTCAATATAATTTGACAAATTTATTTTCGGATTAAATCCCGTCACACATTCCAAATTTCATTGGAATCGCACTTTCATATTGTGTTTGAGGCATCAAATGAACGAAATCGGTCGAAAATATATATGAGAGCTATATCCAAATCTGAACCGATTTTAATATAATTTGACAGATGTATATTTGTTTTAATTTCCGTTAGACATTACAAATTTAATTGAATTTAGAGATACATAGCGTGTTTGGTGCATCAAATACATGAAATCGGTCGAAAATATATATGGGAGCTATATCCACATCTGAACCGATTTCAATATAATTTGACAAATTTATTTTCGGATTAAATCCCGTCACACATTCCAAATTTCATTGGAATCGCACTTTCATATTGTGTTTGAGGCATCAAATGAACGAAATCGGTCGAAAATATATAAATATCATTGAAATTAGAGATACATGGCGTGTTTGGTGCATCAAATACATGAAAAAGGTCGAAAATATATATGGGAGCTATATCCAAATCTGAACCGATTTCAATTTAATTTGACAAATTCATTTTGGCTCCCAATTCCGTTACTTATTTTAAATTTCATTACAATTGGAAATACATATCGTGTTTGGTCCACCAAATACATGAAATCGGCCGAAAATGTATATGGTAGCTATATCCAAATCTGAACCGATTTCAATATAATTTGGGAAATCAATTTTTTAGATAAAATCTATCACACGTTTCAAATTTCATTGAAATTGGGGATACATAGCGTGTTTGGTGCATCAAATGCTTGAAATCGCCGAAAATATATATGGGAGCTATATCCAAATCTGAACCAATTTCAATATAATTTGACAAATTTATTTTTGCATTAAATCCCGTCACACATTCCAAATTTCATTGGAATCGAACATTCATATTGTGTTTGAGGCATCAAATGAACGAAATCGGTCGAAAATATATATGGGAGCTATATCCAGATCTGAACCGATTACAATATAATTTGGCAAACTTATTTTTGTTCCAAATTCCGTTACGTATTCCAAATTTGGAGACTGTATCTTCAACCAATCAATAGATATGTGCATATAAAATCTAAATTTTTGGGAGGTACCTCCGATTCTGATGTTCCAAGTGGAAATTCAAAAATGTATATAGCCTATGTTACTTTCAGGCTATGTTGCAGTATATATGAAAATTTTCAGGAAAATCTATTCAGCGGTTTTCGAGTCCATAAATTACAAACAAACAAACATACAAACATTTTCCTCTTTTATAGATATAGATTTATTATGTTTTTAATAATTTTGTCGGCTTTAGTTTTGTTGTTAGTCTGTAATATAAATAGATAGTGTAAACAGAAATCAAATTATTAATCAATGTGATTTTTTTAAATAATAAATAAATAATAAAACTAAATAAATTAAAAATAAAGTTTTGTTCAAACCCGGTTTGCAACCCTGGTTTGAAAAACAATGCCAACTAAATTGACAATATTTTCAATTGTGGAGAAATCTTTTCTAATCCAGCCTCTTTTAGACAGGGGGGTAACTAACTCGAATTCGCCAACCCATTTCCTACTTTCGGATTGCCATATCCGAGTATACTATAATCATATTCTACTTTCGGATTTGAATCACTATGTACTTCGAATTTAGAAATCAAAGTCGTTCGAAAGTTGACATTTCTACTCGTTTGATGTTTAGCTAACGGATACGAATAAAAAACCGGAAAAAAGTTGTTAAAATTAAAAGAACTGCATAAAACCCTGAAAAATTAATAAAAAACTTTCGAGGGTATTTAACCATTAGTTAATAAGTATTCTATAACGATAGAAAATGTGGCCTAAATCGTAAAAATAATTTGTATTAGGTCGGTATCGGTCCACGTTTTTGTTTAGCCCTCATATAACGCTTGCTCCCTATATATGATACTTTTCAACGGAATTGTTCAAAATATGGTATTAAGAGTTTGCAAGGGGTTCTACCTATTGTAGCAGAACAATGTCTGTATAGGTCCCCGTTTATATATAGCGCCCATATAACGGTACCGACTTATATTCCTCATTTTCGGTACGTTCAGTATTCGAACATTGTCCATATTGGTCCACGTTTTCTATATAACGATACCGACCGATATTTGGCATTTCGATGATATAAGCTACATTTTATGTTATAAAATACTCTATATTTAATGGTTAAATACCCTCGAAAGTTTGTTTGAATTTCAACAAATTTTTTCCAGTTGTTTATTCGTATCCGGTAGCTAAATATCAAACGAGTATAAATGTCAATTTTCGAACGACTTTGACTTCTAAATTCGAAGTACATAGTGCATCAAATCCGAAGAGTATGATTATACTATACTCTGATATGGAAATCCGAAAGTAGGAAATGGTTTTACGAATTCGAGTTAATTGGTAGGAAAAATTCGCATCCGAAATATTTTACTTTCGAATCGAGTTACATAGTAACCCCCCAGATCTGATCGATCTGAAGAAATGAAAAAGGGATATTAATATCCAGATTACAGAAGGCCATCCCATGCAACTATAGATTCAATACAGAAACACTTTAAGTGACATACTTCTAAATGCCGAACCGAACCGCTATTTCTGTAAATGGGCCGAACCGTAAACAAAACCATTATGTAAAAAAATTGAATCGATTTCCATTTAAAAAAGTGTTTCTGTTCGGTTAAAAAATTAGAAATTTGTGTCGAAACGTAAAAATGCATTATTATATTTTAAACGTTCCTTTAAATCTACAGTTCAAATCATAGAATCTATGTATCTAGAAATCAAATGTCGTTCAATGATAATTGAAAGTCCTTATATTTGCCAAAATAATGAAGATATCGGTTTGATTATAAGAAGATACTGATGACTCTCCCTCCAACTGATCGATTTGGGTCGGAGGAAGTATTATTATTGTTATATTGTTTCCCAAATACTAATAGTACTGTCGATGTTTCTTTTTCGTTTTCTTTTTGTATGGAGTATACATATCTTTGACGCTTTGCACCAATTTACACGTTCTTAAAATAAATCCATTTTTAGCCCAAATTTAAAAAATATCTGCATGTAATATGTTTAACATTTGCTTGGATATCAACTATAAACCACAAACATGAAAAGGCTAGGTAATAACATTACAAAAAGCATTTTTTAAATATAAAGAATTGTTGGTTCAAGACAAAGTCATCAAGTTAGTAGATTCATTTGATACGTCCTTATCTACTAGTAACAAATAAATGCTTATATTGCGAATTTGTTAGAAATACACCATAACAATGTTCGTTATTGTGTGTGCCATACGGATTGAAATCGGATGATATTAACATATGGATGCTATATCTTAATCCTAATTGATTTACACTAAATTTAACGGAGGTATTATTATGCAGAATGCGACATATCGTGCAAAATAGCATTACTTTAGAGTGTGTTTTATGACTTTGAATAGGCCTAAATAAAAAATCGGATGAAACATATATATGAGAACTACAGGTATACTGAAATCGATTCGATTTCCTTAAAAATATTGCTAATTGTGGCTATATATGGCTAGAATAACACCAAGTCCTTAGGTCAGTTTTGCTTTTTGTCGATGGCCATAAATCTCATGTGATTATGGAACTCTGTGAATTCTATGAGAATAATAAAATCATTTTGTACGCACACTACCGTCCAATACAATCCATATAATATATATGATATTGCGGACGTCAGTGTTTTAAGACGTTAATACCGAGTAAAAAAATACATTGAAGATATGGCAAATAAATCGGAAAATATTAACAAACTCCTTTCAAAATTCACGTTTTGTCTTCTGTTCCGTGCTGCTAGTAATGAACGTTGAAGACAAGGCAATACAAGCAATGAACTTGGTAAGTTCAAGGCTAATTTAAGGAATTAAAGTGAAGAGATTGCGTAACTAAAAAAGCTGTAAAGACAGGCAAATTTTGAAATATTAACCAATTTTGCCGTGCAGTCCGTTACATATATATAGTCAATGAAGAAAGAATTTTGGAATAAGGAACCCCGCAACGATCTTCATCTCCATTAGATAAAAATAATGCCCTGATGTCGACTTTTTGTTCGTTTAAACCAACGGACGATTC